TTATATACTGCAATTCCAAAAAAGTTTGCAGAATAAATCCTAGCTCTCCTTGCAAAATATAAAGAAATTAAGAGTGGCTCTGTTCTTCAGAAAAGGACAAACATGGTCATTTGTTAAGATGGTTAAAATAGTGAATGTTTAATTTCACAGGACCTCGAGCAGTTTTCACAACGTGACACTGACATGGCATATAGCAGCAGTGTTGGACAGATTCCAGAAGTACATAAGGAACATTTCAAAGTTTACTTTTTCTCCAAGAATTCGACCATTTGGATAAATCTGGGAGCTAGATATTCCCTGTTTTGACATTTGTGAGATAAGAGCAGAATTGTTGACAGCTGAGTTTGTGTTACTGACACATGCAGACAGAAACAGGAAGATGTTTATAGTACACTTAGTATTAACTGAAGGTCATGTTGATGAGTCTATCACCTTCACAAGGGAGATTAACCAGCCTGAAGCCTGGCACCGAGAATTATCTAATATTTAGTACGAAGAATGTCTGTGAGTGCACTCAGTGCACACATCTTGTGTTTTTACATAAACTGTATGTGATGTGCACTGAGAATCTGCAGGTCTCCGCTGCGAACTGCGCCAGATTCTATTTAAAAAGACTTGATTTGGTTCTTGTTCTACTCTCTGCTGTTAGTAACAAAGTCACATTTTCTTCCACATTGTAAATTGAGGTCAAGTCTCATTAACTCACATTCATGCTGTCCCTTCCTCTCTCTCCTTGTGATCAAATACAAAAAGCAGCAGCAAACAAAGTGAAATCTCATTTACGCTAACATTACATGTCCGTCTAGAACTATGTTTCTTACCATGAGGATGTTACTTTGATGCACACCAGCTGCATACGTTGCTGTCCAAACTAACCCCTGAAGCATCAATACTCCCTTCAGCAGCCTCCCAAAACAAGACAGTGTCTGCAACACAACTAAAGCTGCTTATAAATGCACAGAGGAACATGACAAATAGTCCAAGACAGATAGTCCTGACAGGAGTGAACAGCAAGGTGAGGCACACGAAAAAACAGCCTGATTCAGAGGACGTAATAGATCTACTGTCAGACACTGCTGCATCAACAGTCACATTTCAAATATTTGGTTGTAGTGTTTACAGTACAGCCTCTACTTTTGTTGCTGCTTATTTGGCAAGTAGTGACCAGGTAGGGCGAGGAAGCTCAAAGATGGTGACTCATTATATAAAACCATCCATGCAGCTAGGTAGGTACACATTGAGCGTGTTCAAGTGCATCACCTTGAAAATATTTAGCACATGACTGGGATTTGAACTTGAAAGATGAAAAGAGCACACAGTCCTGTTACTTTCAGAGTACAGCACTGATTCGATAAACCTGAGTGCTGTAAACCACAGTCCTGAAAGGAATATAAAAGTATTCATTAATATGTGCTTATGTACACCTTGATGCTTTCCATGCTGATGCTGATAACACGGTATTATCACATAATGCTAATGAATGTGGTTATAAACTGAAATTAACTAACAAGCAAAAAACAACAAAAACAAAACAAAAACAAAACAAACTCTCAAACAACTACCGAGCTCAGGTATTTAAACATGGAATTTCAACACAGCATACACAGAATAGCCTCAATGACACAAACAGCTGTAACAAAACAGTGCCTCAAAATAAAATGCCTCAAATATGTGAGGCATGAGCATGCATGTGGGGGTTTTACTGATGCCTTCTATTTCACCCTCTAAATGCTCTAATTAGAACATCTCTTCTTTTCCACTGCTTTTTAATACCTGCTGTTAAGGAAAGTACCTGCTGCACACATGCCTGTGGGTGGGTGCGCGCACACACACACACACACACCAATAAAAAGTAATATGATGAAATGAATATATGCCTGAATGCAGTCTGTGAGTTTACATTATATTCTTAAGAAAAAAAAAATTACATATTGTTGTTGGGACCAAAAATTGGAATGTTACTATCCCAACTAACAGCCCTTATGAGGACAAAATGCTCATGCCCACGAATTTAAAGGCATTTTTGAGACCCAAAATATGGTTTTAGTGTCAAGGTTACAGTTAGGTTGTGGTCAGGTTTAGCCTAAGGGTTAGAGTGAGCGGCTAAGGAAAGCACTATGTCAATTAGATGTCCCACTAAGATATGAAAACACAGTGTGTGTGTGTGTGTGTGTGTAAGAGAGATGCTATTAGCTGAACAAAACTGGACTCTGTGATAATGATAAGCTTGGCAGCCTGCCAGGCAGACAGATAATACCACAGTAGTTGGTGACTGAGTGATTTCCACCAAAGGCCATTTCATCTCAGCAGCAGTCGTCAGCCTGTAGGCCGGGTCTCCAATAGTGGTCACGCAGTGATCCCAGGAATGTGAAAATAAATGTTTTTATAAGGGGTGAGCTGTAATGATAGGTAAACTACTCATTGTATGCCTCGTCTACATATCTGTCATCAGTGCTCCAGTTTCACTCACAGGTAATGACAACTTGTCAATGAATAAAATAAAATAATAATAATAATAATAATAATGATAATAAAAAAAAGAGTTTCCACTATTTGTAAATATAAGTCATGATATCTAGCAATGATAGTTCTAATTCATATAATGAGGTAAGGAATACTGGAATATGTTTAAATTAAAACATTAAAGTCCACAGCTTTTCCATCAGTATTTTGTTTTCTTTCGTTGCAATTTAACTTTTAAAAATGTATTTATTTGTAATTCAGTGATCCTGAGCATTTTGTGGCTTATAATATTTTTGGGAAAACGAATGATGACAAAAAGGAAATATCCTTATTGTTGGTGTTATCACTATTCATGCACATGGTGAGAGGTACTGTTTTGTTGTTGTTTATTAATAATAGTGTTTGTCATGTTTGTTTGTAAGTACACATAAATTCAGGTACAGACATTTTGGTAAATCACTGATTTGTACATTAATTTTTCATACGCATGAATTATACACAGATTTGTGCCCACGCACTGTTAGTAAATGAGGCCCGTTGTTTCAGTTTTGTGGTTCATTTTGAAAACCTATACGATGCTGCCATGTTTCGTTTAGAAAGAAGAGGTTTTCTGATGGACACACTTTTAAACAAGCCAGACTTTTTCAGTCTTTTTCCAACTGTGCCATCATGAACTTTAACATGTTAACTGAGGCCTCACAGTCTGAGATGTTGCTCTTGGGTTTTTTGCAATTTCTCTGAGCATTTCATGTTTTGACCAGAACATTGTGTTAACACACAGCTATATGGTCCAGACCAGCAAACTACCACAACCTCTGCCTTTATAAGGATGGTCACGGCACCTGGTTGCTAGATTCCCTCTTAATTCCTGTGGAAGCACATTTCACAGGACTGTACCGAGTCCAGTTTCAGGTTACTTTCTCTGTACCCGTTTGTAGATTTGGTCTGCAGTTAGTAGGTCATCCATCCTCATTCATGCACATTTTCAAAATAAACCCAGGCAACACAACAGATATGCATAGTAAAACATACTGAAAAAGGAAAAAGAAATACTTTACTGCTAAATGACCAGCAGTAAAACCAAACTTCCACAAAACCTAAATTATGCCAGACCAGATGCAGAAAGTCAAATGTTTTTATACTTACTTTAACTTGAGGTCTCTTTGTTTGCGTGTTTTGTTTTTTTAGACACTTCATACCAGATGGGTTTG